ATGACCAGCACCTGTATATATATATATATATATATATATATATATATATATATATATATATATATATAAAAGAAAACAGATGTGTTGAGGTTCTTTGGATGGCTGAAAATTGCTTAGCTCAGTGACTTAGACCTGCTGACAGGGGCAGATACTCATCACAGAGAGAAAGCTGGAGTGAGTTGTATGAATGCGTTAAGACCCTTAGGTCAAGGGGGATGGAGCTGTAGAGATGAGAGGGAGATAAAAAAAAAGTCTTTAGATCACTGGTTGAATGTGCTGATCCTGTAGATCTGCTATTTCTATCTCTTCTTCTGTCTATGTATCAAAAGGAGATGAAGCTTTTCTTTCAATATTGACCTTTCTTTTCGTATATATATTGGATGGACTGCTATAGTCCAATATAAACCCTGCACCACTTCACTAACTGTCACTATCTGTCTGTTTACCCTTATTTTGTTGAAAAATCTATTTACAGTAATGCTTTTGGAGGGTGCTACATCTCCCCTGTGTTTACATGTCTCTGTTTCATTTCTGTTGAGCAAGCTGTTCATCCTCAACTTGCACATGCACAAACAGAAGCGTTTACGAGAGATAGGGTCGTATTCTCCCCTAAGGAGCAGAAACCAACCCTAAAGGTACTGGATTTGTAACGGCTGTGATGTCAAAGCTAATTGCAACTGTTATTATTTACACTGTTTAATGTTTTTTTATTATCACAGTTTATACATTACAATTACATACTTGAATGTATTGTGTTAGCCCACTTAAAATAGTGTAAATTAAAGGACAACTCCTGCTTTGTGAATGCTGTACAAATAATCTGTAAAGTGTTAAACTGGTTAAATATTACGGACTGTAAGGATGATTTCAGCTAAATAACAAGAAAAACTTATAGAAAAACTGTTATGGGCCTAACAAATCTTTAAACTGAAGGATGAAATTCAATTTTCTGCAAGACAATAACCCTAGATGATTTAGATCACAGCATGCTTCAGAATTATCTGGCACTTCGTTTATCACATGATAGCCTCAACAGTTCCTAGGTTTTACAAGTGAAATGTAAAACTGGTGAGTGGTATTAACAGTTTTACGAGTTAGGTTACGGTCTGTGATATGAGTATGTATGAAGGCAGTTCATATGGGGGTGTTTCTTTTTATCAACATGCAGCTCTTGTGTGAAACTAATCATTAACGTTGTAAGTTGGATATCTCTCTTTGTGATCGATCCCTGCGCTCTATAACAGCACAACAGAGGGAGGCAGAATTATGAGTTTCATTTAAAGGGAGACCTAACAAAACTCTGGCCTTTATGCTCAGATATGAATCAGCTGTCTAGATTTTATTGTTTCATAATAGTGTACCACGTCTGCACAGCCTGCTAGACCAGCTACACGAATACACATGTACAGGCAAGAGGCGTGTGGAAGCATAGGCCACTGCAGCCTCAATTTTACACTGTCTAGAAGACAAATGCCCTTTTATTACGAGGCATCAATCAATTCTGCCTGGGGATGAGGTAAATGTTTTTTCTAGCAGTGTTGCCTGGAAAACTAAAGCTCTTGAGTTTATACAGAAGTTTGAAAATGTTTTTTTTTTTGTTCTGTAGATTCCTCTCTTGTTTTGCATACTTCAGTATTGGAGCTGTCCATTGCTTGAGTGCTGATTTTACATTTGTGATGTAATAGCCATGTTGTGACACTAGAGGGAGGCCCTATCTCACAATAGCTGGTTTGTGCTCTAATAGTAGATTGTTTAAAAAAGGGGCATAATGTTTGACATTTTTGAGTTAGCAGGAAAATTCAAGGCCTCAGGAGAACAAAGGTTTTGTCTGTTCCTGTTTACATGGTGTTCTGGGACACAAGATTCAGTGTGCTTTAGACACTGAATCTTGATGGGGGGCAGATTAGAACGTAAAAGAAATTCCACTGTTGGAAAAAATACCAGCATTAGGGGAAAAAAACAGCACATATGATGATATTATCTAAACCTGTGTATTGGTGTAGAGTTATTGGGGGAGTTGGTGCTTGTACTCAGTGATAATTGTACGCAATGAGGCAAAGACACAATGGACAATTTAGAGAGACTAATTAACCTGGTGTGAACAGGGAAGATGGCCGAGATGTGAACCTAGAACCACCTTGCTTCATGGCTAACAGCTAAGCCATTAATTAGGCTTAAATTATGGTCAATCATATTATACCAGGTCATCAAAGGCAGAACTTCTTTTTACTGGGAAGAGTGGAGGAAGCCTGAGTTGTTCCCAGGGGAGCTGAGAGACATAGGACCTCCAGCGTCTCCTGGATCTCCTCACAGTGGGAAGTTCCTGGAATGATATCTCCCAATTCAGGCATCCAAAAAAAAAGTCAGAGCGATCTTTTCTTCTCAATGTGCAGCAGAAGCGGCCCTACTCTGAAATTTGTCCAGATAGCAGCACTCAATTCATCATTTCGTCAATTCAGATATTTGGATCTGGGATCTTGTTCATGTTGCAGAT